GCGGGTGGAGAACTCAACCCCGATGGTGGTGCGGCTGTCGTGGCTGAACTCATTGCGCGTGAACCGGGATAGCAGATTGGTCTTCCCCACGCCTGACTCGCCGATCAGCACCACTGAAGGAGCAGAGAGAGAAGGGCTGAGCACGGGCAGAGTGCCCAGGTCTGCTTGAGCTCAAGGGTCTGTCCAGCAGGCAACAGCAACTGCCCTCAGAAAACTGGGGAGGAGGCCCTGATAATGGTGCAGCGACAGCACTCAAAACTGCAAGGCTGACCCACACCAGAAGGTTCGGGCAGGGCTCACCTCTGGAGACCTCCCTGAGCATGACTGGCAGGCGTGTGCCCCTGATTTGGGGTTGGCTGGACTGTGGTGTGGAGACCCTGTTGGGGGTGCTGTCTCCCTGTCTTTCTCTGACTCTTTTGCTCATCAAAGAATAAATAGATGAGGTTTAAAAGAAAAAGAAAAGAAGGGGCCAACCAGTGGCATGGTGGTTAAGGTGACTGGATTCCCATAAGGCTGAGTCCGTGGTTCAAGTCCTGGACCTAGAGGCTTGAAAAAATTTGTTGGCATGTGTGACCAAAATCCCAAGAAGAGAATGGAGGAGAAAGGATTGCAGCATGGCCATTCCTCCTGACAAAAAAGAAAAAGAAAAAGAAAGCAAGAGAAGATAAAGAAAAAAAAAGAAAAGAAAAGAAAAGAAAACAAAACAAAACTGAGGGAGCAGTATCTCCTAGCAGAGCATGAGGTCTAACCAGCATTACACACTTGTCCTGGTAGGCAGAAGGTTTAAGAATTTAAGAGGGGAACCAGCAGAGGGCGAAGTGGTTATATCGCTGGACTCCCACATGGTTTACTGCGGTTAGAGTTCTGACCTGGTGGCTTGAAAATCACACCAGGTGCGTGTGCATGCATACCCAAGACCATGGGAAGAGAATAGAGAAGGGATTGCCGTGTGGCCATCCCCCTGGGGGGTGATTTCTCACTTTCTCTCTCATTGTCTCTGTCTCTCTCTTTCCAGCTAGTGCACATGCCCTAAGGCAAAAATCTCAACAACAACCAAAAAAAAAAAAAAAAAAAAGGAGAG